ATACATACATACATACATACATACATACATACATACATACATACAGTCTGCCTTTCTCCTGCTCTAGTTCACAATTCAATAGTTAATATACAAAGTTAAGTTTGGATAAAGTTTGATGTGTTGTTTTTTTGCATTACCTTATGTGTGGTCCATTGGGTTTAGATGGTGGTTGCCAAGACACAGTAATTACTGACTCACTAATTGAGGTCACAGACACAGGACTAATATTTTGGGGAAGTGTTGGAAGTGTAACCATATATGTAGGTAGACTCTTGGTGCACCCTCCAATATAACCTCCACCTCCAGCACAAGCTTCTATGGTGACTGAGTAATTTGTGAAAGGGATCAGGTTAGTTACTATGTGGCTCATTGAAGATGACAAATTGTTAGTGACAGTGATTTGAGGGTCTGGCATCTGGATCTCATAGCTCAGTATTTCTCCATTTAAAATGGAAGGAGACTCCCAGGAAACCTAAAACAATAAAAAAAAATGAAATGAAAGATTAAGAATTTTACAAGATTAAAAAGAAATAGTTCTAACATGCTTTTTGAAAACAGAGTTTCATTTTCTGGGTTTATATGAGCAAATATGAATTCAAATGTTTATCATGGATATCACAGATTGTATATGGTCTAATCTCACCCATAACCTGATGTTGTAATAGAAGAGACTATCTATAGCTCAGCGTTGAACTGTGGCGTTCTTGATGCTCTCTTGGCTGTTTGCTTGCAAGCATTTCATTACTCAACTAGGTATCCCTAGTATGAGGGAGTGTGGGGTTTGCTGCCTGTTTATCTGCAGTAGCTTGCCTTACCAGTTTAAAACCCATCATCATCAACCCAACATACAGACAAAAGAAATATCTGTATGCTGGGAAAATACACAAACAAGAAAATTCCAGCCACCATTTCATTACTCAACTAGGTATCCCTAGTACGAGGGAGTGTGGGGTTTGCTGCCTGTTTATCTGCAGCAGCTTGCCTTACCAGTTTAAAACCCATCATCATCAACCCAACATACAGACAAAAGAAATATCTGTATGCTGGGAAAATACACAAACAAGAAAATTCCAGCCACCCATCAATCAAATGGGATCACAAATCACCCCTGGCCTGTTTGAAAAGCCAAGATTTAGAAGATTTTCTAAAGGGGCCAAACGGACTTTGGTTTTCCAAAGGGCAGGACCTGGGGGAAATGGTATTCCAGATGACATGCCTATGAGATTCCATACGATGGTATTGTTTAGTCAGTAGGATCCAGAGCATGAACAGCCTGTCAGATCTTATAGAAGAGGCAGAGAGAATGGGAGAAAGACAGTCCCATGAATAATCAGGCTGTGATCCATGAAAGCCTTTATAGATGACAAGCAGTACTTTGACTGGCATCTAGAAACCAACTGGTAGCCATTGCAACTGGCAATGAAGAGTTCTGAGGTATTAGAACACCTATAGATGTTAAATAAGAAGGGGGAGAGTGTTAAGCCATGATGAACCCTGTAAATTATGGGACTAGGACTCAATCTCTCTCCCTCACCCCCCATACACCAACACTGACTGGAACTGGCCATGGAGCAAGGAGGAGAACCACTGCAAAGCAGCACTATCCACTCCCAGCCCCCAAAGTCAGCCAGAAGGATACCATGATCAATAATATCAAAAGCTAACAAGAGGCAAGAAGGATTAGAAGAGTTGTACTACCCCATCCCATTAAAGGTCATCCCCAAGCGCAATTAATGTCATCTCAGGGCTATATCCTGGCTGGAAACTCAACAGAAGTTAGTACATCTAATCTGTTTTTTCCAGGACCCTGGTTGTTGGTATCAGAAAATATAGTCAAGTCGTTTCCATTTCAACATGCTTTTGGATTTTCTTTCCATAACATCATTCTTTACTGCTATTAAAAGCTAATCATGGCTACCATTTTTAATCAAACTAGTTGGCAATCTGTTCACCTGCAAAGCTTGCCATTCAGTTATGAGTATTTTCTCTGTTAACTCAAATGTCTGAAAAGATAAAAAAAATAGGGTTGTCTAGACATTTGGTAAACAATTGCACACAAGATATCAGCTACCGGGTGAGTTATTTAAGATGGTCTATACTGGACAGCTATAACACACACTTTGTATATCAGGCATCATATTCTGAATTATGCATGTCTTAAATGATCAGACACAGAAAAAATGCAACAAAGTGCAATTTTACTTGTCCACAAACTCTGGAGAAGCTTAAGATCAAAAGAAACATTATAGCTGTATTTAGTTTTGAGTTCAAAATGAAACTGATTTTTATTTATATAAATCAGCTGGCTCAACTGGTATAAATGCTATAAAGGAAATAAAATCCACAAGAAAAAATTATTAGAAATATGAAAAACCCGTCCCTTGCTCCTCAACCCTGAGCATTCTTAGATCACCAATTTCATATTCCAAAAATGTCCAAATATATAAAGCCGCTAGGGAATCAGGGCTGAAAGATTATCAAGGTATAAATAACATGAGACATTAAGAACCAGTGAAATTATTAGTCCTTTATGTAGCATCTAGCTGCCTACATTTTTAAGAATGTAAAAGGAATCTAATAAAAAGAACTTGGAATTCTTTTATACAAACATCATTAACAGGAACTTTTGAATCATAGCTTGCCAATGTCATCACAGCAAAGATTTCATTCTGTCAAGGCTTAAAACTTGTTTAGGTTGTTGCTATTTCTAGCTCACAATAACATGAGAGTAAGTGACAAAAACACCACATGAAAATAAATCTAAGATGGGGGAGGCAAAAGTGAATCCATCCCAGTTAGCTGCATTATCTTCATCGTCCTTTATGAAACAGTATAAAATCATCCAGGCAGAGAAATCACATATTACAATTTTCAGCATGGAAAAAAAAAGAGTTCTTCATGCTTTACGCTTCTTATATTACAAATGCACAACTCATACAAAATTTCAAGATGGCAGTTGGCCATTCCGCTAAAGAATCAAATCAGTGTAAAAGGAGGACCTTAACCAGAACAGCCATAGAAAACCACAATGCTTTTAGTATTCACTGCAAAGGATATTAGCATAGCCTTAAAGTAACTGATATATGCTGGTTAATAATAACCAGCATTATTCAGAAACAACCAAGAGTTAGTCTAGACCAATGTGATTTATTCCCTTTGCCTGATACATATGTCATCCCCATCTACCAAATTGTTTCCTTCATGGTGAAGAATACAGGTAGTTCTCATTTAATGACCACAATTGGGACTGGCAGCTCTATTGTTAAGCAAAGAGATCCCTAAGTGGGAAATCACATGACCATGACTGTGCTTTCCTTTCCCCACTCCCCAGT